TCCGCTCTCGATTTCTTAGTTATAAAATCCTTTAATTTCTCTGTTTCGCAATGATTCTGATTCTTAGTTAAATAAACTTCCTGATAGAATTATATTTCTTTCCTCTGCTTTAAAATAACTACGCAAAAAAAAATTGATTGGTACTTTCCGTGACTCACCCAACTCGTAGCAGCATGCCTTGGAAGGGGGCGATGCTGTTGTTGAAGTTGCTTCGGTTATAGCGCTGGAGTGATTGTTATTGTTGTTGTCTCGCGTTGCACCCGCGCTGTGGCGGTTGTTGTTGCTTGCGAGCGATCCACCCGCTACTGAGGCGGTTGTTGTTGTAGTCGCGCGTTGTTGTTGCTGTAGTAGCGNACTGTGGCGGTTGTTGTTGCTTGCGAGCGTTGCACCCGCTACTGAGGCGGTTGTTGTTGTAGTCGCGCGTTGTTGTTGCTGTAGTAGCGCGTGTTGTATTTCCTTCGTCGCGCGTATTGCACCCGCGGCTGTGGCGGTTGTTGCTGCTGTAGTCGCGCGTTGTTGTTGTTATCGCGCGTCATGACGTCGTTACAATAGCCGCTGCTATGGCGGCGTTGTTGTCGCTCCTGTGGTGACCGCTGCTGTGGCGGTTGTTGTTGCTTGACCGCGTTGTAGCCGCTACTGAGGCGGTTGTTGTTGTAGTCGCGCGTTGTTGTTGCTGTAGTAGCGCGTGTTGTATTTCCTTCGTCGCGCGTATTGCACCCGCGGCTGTGGCGGTTGTTGCTGCTGTAGTCGCGCGTTGTTGTTGTTATCGCGCGTCGTTGACGTCGTTACAATAGCCGCTGCTATGGCGGCGTTGTTGTCGCTCCTGTGGTGACCGCTGCTGTGGCGGTTGTTGTTGCTTGACCGCGTTGTAGCCGCTACTGAGGCGGTTGCTGCTGTAGTCGCGCGTTTTTGTTGCTATGGCAGCGCGTGTTGTATTTCCGTCGTCGCGCGTGTTGTACCCGCGGCTGTGGCGGTTGTTGGTGCTGTAGTCGCGCGTGTTTGTTGCTATCGCGCGTCGTCGCAATAGCCGCTGCTATGGCGGCGTTGTTGTCGCTCCTGTGCTGACCGCTGCTGTGGCGGTTGTTGTTGCTTGCGCGCGTTGTAGCCGCTACTGAGGCGGTTGTTGCGTAGTCGAGCGTTTTGCCCCCGCGGCTGTGCCGGTTGTTGGTGACTATTTTTGCCTCGCTGTGCCGCTGTTATAGCGGCTGCTTATGTGGCCGCCGTTGTTGTTGTTGCGGTGGCAGTCCCACTTAAGAACAGACCAGAGCAGCTATAGCAGAAATAAAAACAGTTAGAGAAAGGAACAATTTTAATGGAATATAGTTTTGCTATATGTCTAACCCCATGATATAAAAATAGCAGGTAGTTTC